AACGCCAACAACAAGTGCAACCAAACGTAGAGTAGCGGCAAAGCCATTGTGGCACAACTTTGTTGTGCCACGCTACATTTTATCCATTTATGGGGCACGCGTTTGCCTTGCAACACGCCACACGCATCTAGATGTGGCAGCAGCTGACTTTTGCGTCACGACAGTATACGTAAGCGTTCCGCGCAAGGCACGTGCGTGCGTGCGATTGTGTTAATGGCAAGCGGGATTGCCTGCTTTGGCAAAGCTTGCATTTTTATTGTTGTGGTTGTTGGTGCTTCATATGCTGCCAGTGTCGTGCATTGTTTGTGCCATACATTGCCATTTGGGAGCCCAAGTGTTAATTAGTGCCAACAGCTAATTGCTGTGCGCGCTTGCGCATACACTCGCACCATCTTCGTCGGCGTTTGGTACAAAAGTGCTCGCACAACACATATTTACAAGCACTAAAGTATTTTTCCAAATGATTCGCAGTTTGCTGTCAATTCCATTTATTTAATTGACATTCAGTGTAGCGAATGACCGCGTGTGCGATGCCATCTTCATGGCATTGGGTGAACTGGGAATTAATATCTATCTAAAAATAGCAGAACTTGAAAATTGTCTTGCATTTTCACTTCCCAAGTATTCTTGAATTTTTAAAGATCCCACCGATGTACGACGCCTGTGGTTCGAAATCATCAAATCTCCAAAGAAACCCGAGATTGTCATATCGGACGGAATGGATTGCCCCGTTTTCCGAGATTCATAAAATGTGTCTAGCTGTAAATGAGCTAATAAAGGCTCTGCTTTGCCGAATTATCGGGACGAAAGAAAAATGTGCTCTTCTACCATACAACGCATCATCTTCCACCTCCGCCGTAGCCACGCCCCAATTTTCAAACTCGAAAAAGTCATTCGGCGGAATGAAATTTGAGACGCATGAAAGATTATCAACGCCACGTTGACGTACTTTCAAGATTTCTTCAAAAAAAAATTGTTTCAGGCAGGTTAAAGATATTGAAGAACAGCTGGTTCAAGATCTATTGTGAAATAAATCTCGAGTTTTTCTTAGGTTTCGCAGAAACCCCAACTTCCTATAGGGGATTTTAAAGCAATATGCTTATTTATATTTAGTGAGAATGCTGGTTCCTAAGTGGTCACAAATGCCTAAAACCATCCGTATGTGTCTAAGTATTGTAGAATCGCAGGACCGGTGGTCTTTTGACTATTTGCCAAGATTTTAGAGTTTGATGTCGACACATTACTTTCCACATCTTCATTATATTCTCATATTTACTACTCTTGCTCTACAAAGAGTCCATAGCATAAGCTACTTAAAAATAAAGATACTTTAGACATCATTTAAACGGCCTCCTATCTCATTCTTGCAGGAATTCCTTCCGCTCCTAACTTTTTATATTTTAGCGGCTAGCGACTTCAGCTCGTTGCACACACGACTTTCAATTTTTCTTTTCTTCGTTCGGCAAACAAAGAAACAGTGAGGGTTCCCTTTCCAGTACCAGTACCAGTAGTTTAGAATTAGTACCAGTCCTGAAGGGAAACATGTGCGAAAGTTTAGGGGTGCCACATCAGTTTTCCAACGTAAAATCAATAATTAATATAGGGTGACAACCTACAACAATAACAAATTCACTCAATCCATACCAGAGATCAACGACTTCTCTCCAGCTACACGCTCAAAGGTACCGTTTTACGAACGGTTGTGGTTTAAATCTTTTGTTTGCGGTCATTTTCAAATTTATTGCCCACAAACAGGTGAAATTTTCGCACAAATACGCAATTATATGACCGACAATATGCGAAATGAATGCGTTAAGCCGCTATATGATATGCCAATAGATATGCGCATATAATACAAGTGCAACAATAGCAACAACAACATGCGCATATGCACTTCCACACCTCGTATCGACGTGTACACACCTCAAAACGATTATTTACCGTTTGGTAGGCATAATACAGAAACCGTTACAACCATTTCGATATGTGACGATTTATTTACGCGCATTAAAACCTGCATTTGACTAGGCAACGCAATCAAATTTGCAAAGTGCCGCGAAATATTGGTTAGGAAAATATTTTTCAGCGATTGCGGCGACCAATTGAGCATCTATCAGCCGCAGAATTGTACGTGTGTGTGTGTGTTTGTGGTAGGTTATGATAAATGCGAAATAGCTGTTGGGAAAGCGGCTTTTAGCGCGGCTGAGGCGTTTAATTGGTTGGATTTATTTGATGATTTTTTAATAATAATTTATTCATGTTTCATTTAATTGCTGAAATTTGTTAATTATTCATATATTTACAGACAGACAACAAGCTGAGAAAAGGAATGTATACCAACAATAGTTATGCACAAGCCTTTTTGAATGTGTTATGACTAAAAGGATCCTGCGCTCAGCACAGTTAGAATGCCAGGAATATACCATATTAAAGGCATAAAGTCGTCTTCGAACTGTTGTTTAATTTTTTGATTGGCCGCTATGTGCCAATGCTCCTCATTTCTCGGAACTACCGATATCGGAAAAAAAAGAAGCTAACGCATTATCTTGTTTATACATTTATACAACCATTAAAAATTTAAAATGTAATTAAAAAGTGATTTACAAAAATATGCAAAAAGATTTACCTAAAATTCTTGAAATGGAAATTATGTGCCAGTAGGCATATCTTCTAACACGCAAGCACGTGCTATGCTAAACCACTGAAATTTTCAGATATTTTTGAAAATTTAACACAGTTCAAGTCAATTGGTTTTCGTAAACTCCTCCGCAATTAAATTTTATTGCGTGCATGAATCTAATTTTTGGCATATTGATTTCATTGCTGATTATAAATTTACAAATATATGTAAAGTTTTTGATTTAGCGCTTGCTGATGGCATTTTAATCGCTCACGCATTGTGTTAAATCGCTTTTTTGGGCTATTAAACGAGATTGCGTTTCACTTTTAGCACGCATTTAGCGCTAACTGAACGGAAGTGATGGCATAAATTCCTTTAAGGCTGAATTAAAGTTTATATTTAACTAATTTTTGAATAAAATTGATTAATTTGCATTTGTTCTGGCATTTAAACGCACAATGTGGTGGCTTTGGTAAGGAAGATGAGGTTTAACAAAGGTTTAGGAATTAAATTTTAACCTGAGCACGTGCTCAAAGCAAATCTCTTACACGAAAATATAAGCTCGAGAATTCGTATATGCTTAATTATAACATAATTTTATTTAAGCACTATTTGTCTCATTTACATTTAATTTTTTTTTAATTATAACATTTCAGTTATAAATATGTAAATCTTTACTTTTTATCTCTTTTCATTCCAGTATTCAATTTGAAAAATATTTTTTTATTTGTTACTCTAATTTATAAACTTAAAAAAATTTTCAATTTTTAATTTCGTTTGAAAATTTTTTCAATTAAATTTATCTGTTTAACTTATTTTATTTTTTATGCAATAAAATTATATTGTTTTGCTATTTCAAAATTTACTTCTATTTACTACCTATTTTTAAAAAATGTAATTTTTTTCTTATCCCAAATGCTCCCTTGCACTCAACGCTCATCAAGTATGTTGCTTAAGTCTTCGCCATCACACGACATGTCTATCATCAAACTAGTGAGGCATAACCAAACTAACCGAAATATTTTTGCACTCCAACTCCAACTCGCTGCCAGGCGCAACAAATTAAATTAAGCTGTAAATTGTCACCTGCTGCTCGACGACTGCAACTAAAGCAAGTCAACAACAACAGCAAAAACAACAAGAGCTAACGTGCGGCAGACAGTCAACAGACGAACAACTAGCAAAACATTTTCTTAAGAAATACGTTGCTGTAACTGTTAGCTTAACATGCAGCCATTTGTTGCACATTGTTGTTGTTGTTATTACCATACCATTGTGTTGCCGTGTATTTTTATGTGTTTCGCATATTTAACACCTGATTCAGTTGTAAGTTGCAAATCACCGGGCAACAAACAACACCTACAGACGACCATGGCAGCTGAAGTGCTAGCTTTTAGCCACTGCACTGCAACAACAAGAATAACAATATAAAGCAGCAGGATTTACAGCAAACAAGTGTTGCGCACATAGAGTCGCAGTTGTCGCGTGTCCTTTGCGCATAACTTTAAATGGAACATTTGTGTCTTAAGACGGCAGCAACAGTTGCTGCTGTAGTAGTCAAGTCAACTAAATGCTGCATAAATATATATGTAGATGCATGCATGCTACATACACCTGCATCTGGTTGCATGTGGCATAACTTTTTTTGGCAAGTTTTTTTTTGTTGTTAGCATGTCAGTCAACGGCGGCTCTTCTCATTTTTGTTGAGCTACATTCAATTCTTTATTGTTTGTTGGTTCCAGTGTTGTGGTTTGTTGTTGCTGCTGTCAACACATGTTGCTGCTAACTTTCGGCGACATTGTTGTTGACAACAAAGGAAGTTACGTTTATTTCTACAATTTATTTTAAGCATTAACGGTGAAATAATTTGTATTAGCAGTGATAAGCTAGTGTGGTATGTTAAATTTGTAACAATTCGAGAGTTTTTATAAATATAATCTAGATAATTTTTTTGAAGCTATTAAAAAACAAGAAAAAATGTTAACTCTTCTTGCCCTGAAGCTATATTACCCTTCACAATTATAATACAAAGGTTCTATACAAGAACTTGATTTTGATCGTTCAGTTTGTATGGCAGCTATATGCTATAGTGGTCCAATATCGGCGGTTTCGACAAACGAGCAGCTTCTTGGGGGGACGGATATTTATATACATATTTTGTAAGGTCTGCGACGTTTTCTTCTGTGTGTTACAAACTTCGTGGCAAAAGCAATGTCTATTTCAACTGAATTCAGGTAAATACGGCACTGACAGCCAACGAATAACTCGCTATGAAGATTGACAACAATTTGAAAAGCAACGGTTGTCAGAAGTACAAATACAATTTGTAACGATTGGCTTGATTAAGGCTGTACTGTGATTGAGGCAAATAATACAACAATTTCATAGAAAATTAAAATTTTTAATAGCAAAAATAGAGATATAGCAAAATTATTTAACTGCTACAGAAGCACGCATTATACCACACGCTAAAAAACTACAAAAGTAAGACAAATTAATTCAAGGCACAAATGGTACTTAGATATATAGAAATACTAATAAAAGCATAAGTACTCAGAAACATACATCAATATCGCTCATATTTTGGTTTGTGCATGCCGCCGCTGACAGTGCCACCACCACCACTACCGTTGCCACCCACCCCAGCAGCATTGCCACCGCCAACAGCATTTGATGACAAATTGCCGCTGCTATTGTTATTGCCAGCATTACTGTAGGATGTGTTATTATTATTGTTGTTGCTGCCGTTATTGCCCGAAACGCTATTGTGACCATTATTTCCTGTGCTGCCGCCGCCTATTACACCACTAGCAGCTGTTGAATTTGTGGCCAACGTGTAAACTTCATAGTCGACCACCGTGAAATTGTAATCCCCAAAGAGTGTTAAATAAGCGGCATTTGGACCATCATATGAGTGCGGTAAATTCGAATAAGAATCCATATTAGTGTTGCAATTGTTGGCAATAAGTAAATCGGCGCCAGCACCAAAAATTGGGCCGCAGCTATTTAAGTGAAAGGAGAATATAAAGCTATTTATCTTATGCCTTGTTGTAAAAATTATCTGTGTGCTCACTCTGGATGATAACAGATCGCATAGGGTTTTTTGATAATATCGAACTTCACCGGTGAATCACCGCCAACGGGATTAAGCGCAAACAGAAAAGCACGTTCTGAATGTATGTAACCCCCTTTACGACTCGTTTTGGCCCAGGCAACATCAGTATAGCCACCGCTTAGTTCACCACGTGAGCCCTGCGTTGAAAAAAGTGCATCAGTTTTTTTAATAATTAATTTTTTTACATTTCACTTACAATGCCAATAACGAAACAGGGTGCTACACCATCGCAGTAACGATGAAAAGCGCTGGATGAATAACCATGCGTTGATGCGCGGAATACCAAACGCCAAGATTGTTTGGGCATACCATACCTATATAAGAAGATAGATTTAAAATCATTTATGATACTTACTTCTCCTAGCGCCTACTCTTACCATCCGTTTAGCACACTCTGTAAATGTAGTTTATCATTGCGCAACAACTGTGAACCAGGAAACATGTTAACTGTCAAGCGGGGCTGTAAACGCTTATCATCTTCGGTCATACCCGGTATGGAGGGCAGCATTTGTGCACCACCAACACCACCACCTCCCTTATTCGAATGCAAAGCTGCATAACGATAACGTTCCAACGACAATTCCATAGGCACAGCCCCGGTAGGTTCTACTTCTTCGGCAAATACTTGACTATCGATTAACAACAAACGCACATGACACATTACGCCCGATAGGTGCTGGCAAACGCGCGCACGTTCCTCTTCCGTCCAATGAGCGGTGGGTTGTGTGACACCAGCTTGATTCTTAGCCCAGGCGAGCACACAACGCCAAACATCTTCCTCTTCGAGGCAAAACTAGTTTGGGAAAAAGGGAACAAGTGTGTTTGATAATAATAACTTAAACGACTCTACTCACATAATCAGAAGATATTAGTTTGACTAATGCATCCTTGGTTAAGTTGAGAAAGGCATTAGTCTTAGCACACTCGCTAGCATTCTCGCCAATGTAGATAATGCAGCGCTCCATAAAGGAAGCGGCGCATTTTGCACCTGAAATTTTATTTAGAGTAAATATATTAGCGATTTAGTATGTAAGACATGAAGCTTTTTCCTACTACTACTATCATTTATTTAGCTACCCAATCTTGAAACCCTTAAATAAGCAGAATTTTTTCATTTTATACAACTCACTTTTATTTTTTTACATTCATTTGAATTAGAAGAAAGCTAAATTCAATTACAATTCGTTTATAAACTAACTTATTTTTAGTGTTGTGGTTCCATGCATTTGTTTATCCACCTGAGGTCTTATTGGTGCATTATAGAAAATACACATTTCGCATACAGTCAAAGTATATATAGTAATGAGTTTACGGTATTAGTTTAATTTTATGCATAATCTTAAAGTCTAGCTCTTCCACATTTGGAAACGCCACTTTCCCCAGAATCGCGCTCTTTCGGTTAGAGTGGCACATAACCTCACATTTGCTGCGCTGCTTAGTCTTTCGACGGGCTTACATTCTGTATCAATGTTATATTATCACCCTTCAGCATGATGCGTCCAAGATTCTTGCGTGTACGTGTCTTCACCCACACTTCTTCGGCATCATCCAGCACCAGATTCATGTATTCATCAAATCCAACAATGTGTCCCTCGATGCGTAGCGAAACGTTTTCATATAGCCATACTTGTACGCGCGAACGATTCTGCAGATAACGAAATATTAGATTGATGGGTTGGACCATCACCTTTTGGACCTTCGTATTGCCTTTGAAGGACATTTCGCAGCTGTTATTTTTACACTTTGTTGAATTATTTTAAATTAAATAAAATATTTTATGTGTAAACGATTGCCGGCGTCGTCTACCAGCAGTATTTTTGACAGATGCATTCAAAACGTCAGAAAGTAATGCCAGCAAAATCTCAGCGCAGAATTTAGCAATACAGTGTTGCTTTTTTAAAAAATAGCTCCTGCAAAAATTTCATATATTTTGCTATATAGATACGCATTTATAAAATTCTGAAGCGATTTCAGTGCTGCGTACCACAATATGACTAAAAAATTTTATAAACACGCAGGTCATTGCATTTAAAACATTTATTTAGCATGTAGGTACCTATAATATTTCAAAATTAAATATGTGTCAAGCGGATACACAAACATTGCGAATTTGTATAGAACACTCCTATTTGTTTATAAGCTTTGGAACAAATATATTCTTCCTTTAACCTAATATACTAATATAATATTTAATATTTACAGTTATTAGAATTTATAAAGTTCTACTCATGTATTATGCTTCTTTCTGTGGCACCCTGTTTAATTCAGTACATCTGAAAAACCAGCGACAACAGCTTAAATCATCCGACAGATGGCGCATATACAATAGTTAAACGAATTGCAGACACTCTGCAGTGTATAGCCTAGACATTAACCGTGCGCTCAACACACAAGCTGGATTTATGGCGAATATTAAAATATTTATCAAAATAGTTATTTATGTTAACAGCTTTTTAAAGCCATAAATATTATATATTATTTAGCGAAATATATTTATTTATCGACTTAATTTTGTGGTAAATTTTTATTTTTTGACCAAATTTTTTTAAAGAGTGTTAATGCATACCAAGTCTGGCAACCTTCTTTCGCCCGCGTACCGGAAGTTTATTACGAACATATGTGGAAAATTCGTGTTTGTTAAAAATATTGTGTTAATTAAATATCTTTTTTATTTTGCGCATTATCAATGTGTGTAATAGAATGTGGTGTTTGTGTGCAAGTGTAGTACAGGTTCTAGTTTGTGAAATATAAGCAAATTAAACGCAGCTAACTGAGCTAGCTTCGACAAAGACAAGTACTTCCTGTTGAGCGCTAAGAGCTGGGCGGAAGTGCTGATTAGGAGTCTGTCCAAAGCTTGTTTTAATATATCAAAGATTGCTGCACAATTTGAGAAATTCTATAAATACTTTGACATCAGCGCACATTCAGCTCTAATTGGGGGCAAACTTGACACTTTGTGGCATGGTGGCAAATGAAACGTTACATTCATAATTCTTTGCAAATTAAAACATGTTTCAACTTGTTATACATGTGTAATACAAGTGAAAATAAATATATGTTTTTATATTTATGCTAAACAAGAAAAAACGACTTCTGTTGCACCGAAGCTATAATACTCTTCACAAATAAATATGTGTCCATACAGGAACTTGATTTCTCTGTGTGTTACAAATTCTAGGCAAACTTGCTATACCCTGTTCAGGGTATAATAAAATCTTAAATTGCTGTTTGATGTTGCAACAACAGAAAAACGAACTAAAATGACACAAAACTCTTGCAAATAAGTGCAAATTATCCACAAGTAGCTTTGCTTTTGGGATCTTGCGCTAAAATAATTATATAACATACCTGCTTTTTCGTGTATTTCCATGACGGACGTGAGAAATGTGCATGCATTGTCTACTGACAGTGTTGAAATTACATGATCTTCGCAAGCCGCACGCAATTCTTCCACGCCCATATCTTGCGCCAGTGTCATCATCTCGAAAACGCGTGAATCTTGCAGCATAATCTGGAAAATTTTCGCATGATAAGCAAGGTTTTTTAACTTTTACTTAAATTCATTAAATTTTTATACGTTTACCTTCGCGGTGTAGACATACACGATGAATTGGCGAAATACATCCGGATTGACATGTGGCAGTCGCACGGGTGTGGGTGTACCGGGCGCTGCAGGTGACACAGAACAGCCGGGTATGCGACAGATTTCGCCACGCTTAGCCGTCTTAAAGCTCTTGCAGCTGTAAAGTGCAAAATTATTAATACTTTTATTTAACCTATAATTTCATTAATGCAATTGTAACGTTAATCTATTGAATGCACAGTTAGTTGGCGCTTTTTACAAGTCAGTTGCATGTTTCATGTTGCAAGTAATTAAATGCATTTCGAAAGTGGCGTGATAGGTGTAAATGAAAAAAAAGTGTATGAAAAATTAATTAACTATAAAAAATGTAATTAAGTCATTTAATGCAACAAAAAGCGACAAAAGTGTTAGTGTGTGAGTGTGCCTATAAATATGTACACGTACATATGTATGCGTAATAATTATTAATGCCGCTGCCCACTGTTATATGCCATCAATGCTTACGGTCAAACAACTGACGCAACACAATCTCGGCGAAATATAATAAATGAATAAAAGAATTGCCACGCAACAATTAAACACTGCAACAAGCGTAAAAACAAATGAATTAAAAATGTGCCGCAAAAGTTAAAATGAAATACAATTAAACAGAATGCAATAAATGCATTACAACAACATTGTATATTGAAGAATAATTAAAAAATTGCAACACGCACTGTCTGCGTAACTGAATCACACTGCTTGCCACAACCAACACGCTGCGGCTTTGTACAAAAGTGATCACATTACAGCATTTTGTAATGAAAGCGGACACAAAAAAAAACGTTCACTTCGTTTGCACCGAAGCTATAATACCATAGCTTCACAAATGAAAAAAGTTTCCATACAAGAATTTGATTTTGAACTGAACAAGTTTGTATGGCAGCTATAAGCTATAGTGGTCCGATCTAAACAATTTGTTCGGAGATTGTACCGTTGTCTTTTCCAATAATGCAAGTCAAATTTCATGAAGATAGCTCGTCAAATGAAAGAGTTTTCCATACAAGCACTTGACTCCGAACGTTCAATTTGTATGGCAGCTATATGCTATAGTGGTCCGATATCTGCCGATCAGACAAATAAGCAGCTTCTTAGGGAGAAAAGGGTGTATGCAAAATTTCAAATCGGTATCTCATAACAGATTGACTTGTACGTGTATGAACCTGGCCAAATCGACGCGGCTCGCCACGGTGATCATTTATACACCATAAATGTTTTATATATTTCTTAAATAGGGCTATAGGATTATTTTATAGGGTCTCCGACATATACTCTTTGGATAATAAGGGTATATTCAGAGTACGTATATAAAATGCGTACTTATACATATATATACTTATATATTTAACCAATGTGTACGTGAACCACGCCCACTTACCGTGCCATCAACAATATGCGATGCGCATAAATACGTTCCTCCTCACGTCCGCAAATGAATACTAAATCGGCGCTCTCCTGATCCTCGGACAGACGTTGCAAGTCGGTGATGAGCTGCGGCAGGCCAGCCATAGCAGCCTGATCGCAGTGTAATGGTGTGGGGCAAGGTGGTGGAACACGTGTGCCCATTGTTGTTGCACCGTAGGTTGGAACAAACTGAGCGAGTACTCTCAGTTGTATACTTTTGCTTCTTGTTGTTGTAAATTTATGTCTGTTAATTAATGTTGCAACGAACTAGTTGACTAACGACGTGCTGCGTCCGCTTATGCGCTCTGCAACACACTGGTTGGTAGTCTTAATTGTTTTTTTTTTTCTTCTCTGCAAGCGCTTGCCGCTAAACTCTTTCGTTTGTTTATTTTGTTTCAGTTTTTTATGCCTCTGTCTGATTGTTGCTGTCAACAGCGGCGACAACTAATCATTTGTTGCACGTTTACGTTTGTCACTTGACTCTTTTTCATGTGTATGTGTATATATTATGTGAATGTCGTTAAGAGCACGTGCTATTTGCAACTTTTGTTGTTGTACCCAGTATTGTTTTTTTAGTTTTGAGTGGCAATCGATCCGTTTTTAATTGAGCGACACTTATAGTATTTCCGCTGAGAATTCTGTTGGTGAATTGAACTTGATATTATCAGAATATAAGATTATATAAATTTATAGTAATTATAAATTACAGACTTTGTAATAATTATTATTTATTTTATGTTCTAATTAATTATTAACTAAGATTTTTTTCAAATTTATTAATTCATTTTTTGTGTAATTAAAATTTTTGTTTTATATTTTTTAATTCATTAAATACTGTAGAGATTTAAACTAATTATTTAATTAAAAAACTTTATATGTTTTCACCCACTTTGTGGGCGTGGCAATGAACCGATTCCGACCATCTACAATACTAACTCTCCTTGGGTGCCAAGGACCGCGTGAAACTACGTTCATCAATATATCTTAATTGTTACACAAGTCATCGCTTGCACAGACGGACAGTCGGTCAGACGAACGGAGTCGATATAAACAACCGTTAGGTGAACGAAACTATTATACTCTGTGCAACATGTTGCGATAGTATAAAATTGCAATATAAACAATAAAATAATTATTAATTTTTTTTTTATGTTAACGTGTTTATATTTTATTTTGCAACATTCGTACACAAACAATTTGTTAGCGTGCACTTGTTCATATAAAATTTTCTCATTTCACTCAATCCACCAACGACTTGTATTATTATTTCCACGCTTTTTTACACCTTAAAACAAAATTTCTCATCATTAAGTTGAAAATTTGTAAACAAAACCGCTCGAACGTCGCCAGCCCTCTCCGCATTGCCAATAAGCGGTGTGCGCATGCGTACGCGCAATTTTCAGAAACCAGTTTTCACAATGGTTTTCGGCATTTTGTTGCGCTCAAAGTGAAGCTCAACCGCAAGCACACAATCATCGGCCAAACAAACCAAAGAAAACAAACAAAAGCCACAAAGCAAGCAGACATGCGATCTACTACCACAAAAACCTACCGAGAAATGCCGCAAAATTAACAAAAACCGCAAATTATAAAACAAAAAATCGATTTTAGACGCTAAATTATGTGTCGCACTCACTTGTCTGCGCGTTTCGAAAGGAAATTTTGTAGCAAGATCTTTTACTTTGCACAAATTCCTGCCTCACACAGTATCACAAATTGTTTTTGCCACACACCGCAACACGGTGCAAGTGTGCTCCCTTTTTGTGTCAGGCCCTTTATGTATTCCAAACTACTTGGGTTTTTTCGCGTTTTGCCGTCTACTCAAATACCGTACACGTTGCGCTCACTCTCGCGAATCCGTTGCGACTGAGCGTATTTGCTTTCAATTCGGCGGCACAATGCGCTAATTGTAGTTTCGTTCTGTCTGCAGATCAAACGCCATCGCTCACACTGACTCAGCCGTGTATTTGGGTAAGCAGCTCTCAGGGCTTGTGTTGCCGCCGGTCCATGCACAGGTAGCGAAAATATCATACACTCAATCAGTTGCTATATATTGCTTTCCTTTTGTTGTTGTTCAGTTTTTGGTTAATGCCTTTTGTCGTACACATTGTTGTTGTTTTTTTGGTTATATGCTTTTCTTACCTGGCTGTTGCTTAGTTTGCCGTGTTAAGGGCAATTGAATCATGTTGTGGGTCAAATAATTGCATACTTGTAGGCTCAACTATGTTGGAACGATCTTTTGTGGGATGAGAACAATCGACGACAAAAAAATATTTATTTGGGGAAAATTTTTGAAAATTCACGATGGTTATCGGGCTTACGTGTTTACTTTAATATTACTTTCATAATCTTTTGTCTCCCAAATTAATTAGCGTGAACTAATAGTAATAGCATATACGAAACAATTAAGGGCACAATTTCACGTAATGACAAAGCATAAATCGTTCATTCTCTTCACTACAATACTTATGTTAATTACTCGTCCATTTGAAGATTTGTGAAGTGTTTGAGCCTATATAGCATTGCTCAATAATGCGTTATTGCTCAGAAATTGACCAGCTCTCCAGCAGTAAGGATTAGCAAGAATAATGTACGCCGAGTTGCAACTTATCAGCCTCATATTTGTGGTGAACCTGGTTTATCAGATCAAAGCACAAATGCATACTACGGAAATACGTGAAAAGTTAAAGGAATTTAATCAGCAAACTGAAGTTGAAACCAATATTTTCATCTATAACAGCAGAGATGTGGATATCAGTGAGTATATCACCAAAGAAACGACAGTGATTTTAGTAAATCACATGCAAAACAACTTTAAATTAATTTATCAACTCAATAAAAATGCGCTAGCCATCGTAATAATTACAGAGAGAAACAATTCTAAGGTGCTGGACATACTAAATGAAGTGTTAACACGCTTGCGACACCTAAAAGTATTATTCATACTACCCACCACAACCATTGATGAAGAAAGACAACTGGGGCTCTTTTGGTGGGCGTGGCGATCAGGTTATACACACATAATGAGCCTACATGCGGCAACGAGTATTAACGGTACACAAATAACGCTTATGAGTTATAGACCCTTTCCAGAGTTGCATTTGGTAAGAGTTGAGCATCCAGTGGATTATTTTCGGTGTACATTACCGCATGATTTTCAAGGACATCCAATACGCACACCCCTCGGAGAAAGTGCACCAATAATCTTTAGTTACAAAGATCGGTATGGACATCGGAAGACTTCCGGTATAATGTATTATGAATTCCTTCATTTTATGCAGGTGCACAACGCCACGTTGGAGGAAGTTGTGCTACCCAAACCTTATCCAGGAATTGTACAAATGGAATCAGTGACTACAGCAGTGCAGCGCAATCAAATCGATATATCTTTACATTTTTACTTTGTGGACTACGATAAATGGCACGTAACTCAACCGCCAATTACATCTCAATTTTATTTTCGTGTGCCGAATGCAAAGCCACGTTCACTTAAAGATTATGTATGGGCACCGTTTGAGTGTAAGCTTTGGAATGCGATTTTGCAGTATTTGCTTTTTCTAGCTCTGATACTCACCATCATCAACTTCGTAAGTACTCGTATTGAGCGGTTACGACAAGCGCCGAAACGGCTGCATATTGGGAGAGTTAGTAGCACGATCACTTCGGTTGCTAGTCAAAGAAGTCAGAGGACCGAGCGGAACCGTGCGTCTTCTTCACACAATTATTATACTCAGCTGCGTCTCGTGGTGTTTGAAAATGCACAAATTTTCATCGATACCTTTCTAAAATTACTGCCATCACTCAGCTTTACCGCCAATAGGCGTGGTCAGTGCACGAGCTACAAACTTCGGCTGAGTTTTATATACATTTTTCACTGTTTACTAGCATTCATTTTGGTGAATTACTACAGTGCTCTAATTGTTAGTTTTCTCACTACGGGAATCTATGAACCGCAACTAAATTCCATTGCTGACGTCATAAACTCGCCTTTTAAAATCCTACTGTCTCATACGGATATCCTTTATTTCATAACTGATGCGGAGCTGCGGCGCAAAGTTGTAATTGTCAATTGGAGTGAGTTGTGGCAAAAGCATAAATCACTCAATGATTCGGTTATACTGTTGAGTACACAGTGGGGTTATGATTTCTTTAGTTCGCAACAGATAAATTTACACCATAAACGTGTACGCTTATTAGATTCGGAAGTCATTTGGAATGCAATGTGCGGTATGATAATGCCACTTGATTCACCATATGTTGAAATGCTGACCGATATGTTATTGTGGTCTTTCAATACGGGTCTCTATGCCAAAGCTTACCACGATACGAGACGGGATGCTTTTGATGCTGGGATCCTTCAGAAGCTACCGGGGGATTATGAAGCAGGTTTTGCGCTGAACGTTCATTACTTTTACTGGGCATGGTGGCTGTGCATTGTTGGTTATATGCTGAGTGCTGGTGTCTTTCTTATTGAGCGGTTCTGGCATAAGCGGACAAACTGAAGAAGTTGATGTTGTGAATAAAAATATTTTGATGGTTGGTATACTTAGTATTATAATTTGATATTCGTTTCGTTTGAATGAAATTTTTTTTCTCCGAGGAAACTACTTCTACGAACATTAAAACAAAAAAAAAACCTGTCTAAATATCTTAAGTTATATGACACTAATAGTTATTAGCTTTAACTCTTGCTTTTAACTTTCTGCTTTTTCGGCTGTCAATTATCGGAGTTTGGATGTCAACTTAGATATTTCGATAATAAATTTTATAGCCTTATGCGTTTTTCAATGTCAGAATAATTTATATTTCTTACAAAAACTAAAAGTATATTTCATTATCTTTTAACCAACCAAATTTCATCACATTTATATGTACATTTGTCTCACCCCTACTCCACACTGACTGCAGAGTAAATAAGACACTGATTAGATTTACTTGCAATTTAGCGATTTTCGCGCAACACAGCACGCCGCCGTCTAAATATAAACACACGTACACACACACTTGCATGAAACGCGTCATCATTTTGTAGGTTGCCAGCAGCACGTTGCTCATACCACATGTCGCACGTCTTGTTTACAAATATTTATCTAACCAAATATGAAATTTGCGCTGGTGAAGTGTTGTGGCGACGCACACACATACATATGCGTAAAGCATAAAGCTACAAGCAATGTATAAGCGATAAAAATCAATCTAAATTCACTTTGCTGCAGATAATTTAAAGTGATTTGCCTGAAGTGGGGTGAAATATCACTCGAAAAATTTAATGAAAATGTGTAGTTGTTGCTGAATGGCTGACTGCCTTGCTGTGATTTGTGCATTTTGTTGTGAAAGTGTATCGCTAGATTGTTGTTGTTGCGCTTGATGAATTAAGGGTCTTCAGCTATGTTGACAAGTATCTATTTTTTGATCTCTACTCGACGACGTTTATGCAAAGACTTCAGAGCTTTTCATACGTGTATAGCATTAACGGAGTTCATACCCAAAAAATATTAACCAAGATGTGCTGTGTCGATCGATAGATGTGGTATAAAGTCAACCGGAAGTACGAAAATATTTATATAAGGTATGTGAGGGCTGAGGCAAGTACAGACCCAATGTTATACATACTAGATCTCTCAGATGGGCCGATATGTTCGGTTAAAATCAGCTATGTGCACTGGGGTGCACCTATTTGGTGTCTGGCTCCTTGAAAGATTACAGTTCGATTAGGAAAATTTTTTGGTGTAAGATGAAATATGTTGAAGGCACTACTGAAGCAAAGTTTTATTCTGAAAACTTTATTTTTGTTTGATTAGTTTACTGTAAAGTGAAAGAATCAGATGAAATTTAAAAGTTTGTTATATGGAAAGTAGGCGTGGTTGTCATCCGATTTCGTCCATTATCACAGTATATGATGGGAGTGTTTGAAGAATTTGTTGAATGTACCTAAATAGTGCCTGTGACATACGATTTCACCTAAAGGTGGGCGGTGCCAAGCCTCTTGTCCAATTTTTACACCCGAACCTATAAATCTTTCATCTATCTATTTAAAATTCCCGTTATTGTTTGAACACACCTCGTATATAATTTTTGCGTTTTCCACATCTTCACGTCACCGCTGTTCTTCCCCATTAGTCCCACAAAAGCTGCCCCCTTCGCAGCCGCTGCGTTCACGTCTTACTCAATTCCAGCTCACTTGTGGCCTAACCTACTCCAGTCGGTCTAAGCAAATAGTAGTAATACATAACGATTGTCACATTCGCCCAACGCAGTTGAGTCTTTAGAAAATATATAGCATTTTCTAAGTAAATATGACACAAAGTGAAGCAGAAGTAGAACTGTTAACCCGAGCAAATGGCAAATACAACTACAACAAACGTTAGCAGGCTGACTGACTGGCTCCTTGCTTGACTGGCGGCGCCTTTCAGCGCTGTCCATCGCTGTCGCGTGCTGTTGCCCTTAGCAAACGACATCAACGTTCAACGCTTTCTTACATCTGCTGATAAAGAAAGTGTTGCACGCAAATGAATGCGTTCAAAGCAGCGCCACCGCACCGCGTACCACACAGCTGCAATTTGAACGCTAAGCATTAAAATCTATGAATGACTGGCAAAGGAAAAAGTTGCTAAAAGCGGAAAATAAAATGTGAAATGCTGTGGCTTGCGAGCGTTTCTGCTTGGTTGACTGTGATTTGTTGGCGAAGAAAAGCATTTCAAATGAGGTGGCGTGCTTGTGAATTACGCTGTTATAGTTGCTGTTGTTGTTATGGTGATATGTTGCTACTGGTATTTAATGAAAGTTGACAACAACAACAACAAGAGCGGTAGCTCCGAGTGACAGCATTCAGCGATATTGTTGCTGAAAGGTGGCCATTAAAATTATGACTTCACACAA